GCCCTCTGCACAGTCCACACACCCCACATGTAGCCACTTCTGTTCTGCTAACCTTTTTAAGCCTGCTTGCTCTTTGGTACCCTCCAGGATTGAGCCTGCCCCTTCACCATCAAGGGCAAATGCTTTGAGTACATGCTTTTACTGTTCCCTTGTGTTTCCAATCAAGTTTGAATCCTGTCTTAGCTGACAATTCTCTGAATGCCAAGCTATAACGCTTGTCCTTTAAATCTTAAAAGCCTGTTCCTAAATCAGTCTTTGTTTAACGTTGAGTCTTTTGTAGACTCTAAGATTCTCTTAATGTGAATCTTGCCACACTTTTATATTATCACCTAGAATAACTCAACTGCTTACAAATCTTTCTGCTAAGTCTACTATTACTGGATTAAGGGCTCATGGAACCAATCTTCACTGTCTATTCCAAAGGCCTGAGGCAAGGCTCTACACCTTGAGATTGCTCAATAAATACTGGTTAGCGGACTGGCTTCGGACCAGCACTAGGGCTAAACCATGATGGGTTATCTGTTACTGAGAACACTATGCTGCTTTCCTCAGAACTTTTCTGTTTTCTCTGGGTCTAAGTTGGGTTGTTGTTGTTGTTGTTGTTGTTGTTTTTAAGAAAAGAAGAAAAAAGATCCCCAAGAAGCAGACACTAGCAGTGGTGACGGTAACAACTGTGAATTCTTTTTCTCCAACACAAGCAATGTTTTGACTAACATAATGCTACCCAAACTGTTACTGGACATTATAACTTTTCAATGTGGGAGCTTTTAAAACAGCCAGTTCCCAGTTCATGCCATTAGCAATCAAGTCGGACTACATACAAGAGCCCATATCAGTATTTTTAAAGGTTCAATGTGATGGACGTGCAGCAGGACTTGGCAACCAGTGTTTAATTCTTCAGCTTGGTATACAGGCCATAAATTTCTTGTGATGGTGCTGGATGGATGAAAGGACCTGACTCCCATGCATGGTATAATGTTATGAGCAAACCATGTGTGGTTTGACTGGTTCTGAAATGGTGGCAAAACTGCTAAATGGTCCCACCCAGCCAAGATATGCTAGTATCTATGTTAGTTACTTTCTGATATAAGATGATTTTTATCTAAAATAATGTTACTCCAAAAAATGTTACCTCTTCTTGGTGTGCTGATGACTACAGCAAAATTTTAATATTTGTCTGTTCTTGGTCCAAATAGGATTTGAATTTAAAAAAAAAAAAAAAAAGAAGAAGTTCAGGATCCAGCACAAAGAACCTCAAAGCCACGTGTTAAATAGATTCCCAAAGACTAGGAACTGCATGTATGATTCCATCAAGCAAACATTTAACATGTCCCTACAACAACTGACGTGATAAAAACAAGGCCAGTGCACGCCGAAGACCATGGCGGAGTGGCAAGTGGCCACAAAGGGCAGAAAGGAACCTGGAGACCAAAACCTACAGCAGAGGCAGAGGCAGTAACACAACCCAACAGACTGAAATTCAAAGCGTTTTGTTCCAAACCCCGCCCCTCGTGGAGCAGCTATGGACAGGTGGCTTCTGGGGAGTCCGTTTGCTTTCTGAGTGCGTCCCTGTTGGGTCCACCACACTCCGGTGGGTGATTTCTGTCCTAGTTAGAGTCATGACTAGGGGACTAGTCATGTGGGGGAGGAAAGTGCTCATATGGTTTAAGCTCCAAAATCACTGTTCATCACTGAAGGCAGTCAGGACAGGAACTCGGGCAGGGCAGGAACCTGGAGGCAGGAGCTGATGGAGAGGCCATGGAGGGGTGCTGCTTACTGGCCCGCTCCTCATGGCTTGCTTAGCCTGATTTCTTACAGACCCACGACCACCAGCCCAGGGATGCACCACCCACAATAGGCTGGGCCCTCCCCATTGATCACTAAGAAAATGCCTACATGTTTGCCTACAACCTGATCTTATGGAGGCATTTTCTCTATTGAGGTTCCCTCTTCTCAGAAGACTTTAGCTTGTGTCCAGCTGACATAAAACTACCCAGCACACCTCACACCATGAGGGCAGGGGCAGCAAAAACTGTACTCAGTGGATTCCTTGAAAGAGATGAGGAGATAAAGTTAGAAGGAGTTAGGGATGGTTCTGGGAGAATTCAGAAGTATAGGGGAAAATATGACCAAAATATGGTATGCATGTATAAAATTCTCAAAGAATTAATGAAAATATTATGTTTTAAAATATCACTGGATTTTACTATTTTCAAATTTTACTTCAATAAAGATACATATGTCTATGTGTATGTGTTGAAGTTCAAACCCAGAACCTGTGCACATTCCAGCCTCTGCCACTGAGTTCAATCCCAGCCCCAAAAGATCATGTTTAACAGGATCCCACAAGATAAGAAAACCATCTTTAAGGTGTTTGAACAAAATGTGCTAAGAATTAGCTTTTCGAACTGCCGATGCTTCCAAAGATTTATGTGAGCTGAACTGTATCCCTGTAAAGTTCCAAACCTCAGAACCTTGAAATGTAACATTTAAATAAATAAATAAATAAATAAATAACTTTAAGGAGATGGTATGGTTATTAAAACTGGGCATGTGCATGCGCGCGCGCACACACACACACACACACACACACACACACACACACACACACACTCTCTACCATGACCATCACTTGAATCTTTATACTAAAAAAAAGTCGGAGCAACTCTAAACACACGAAACCAACAGTGGGAGCATGCACACTCAGAAAAGGCACAGTAGAGATGCCATTTGCAAGTCAAGGGCACAGGTCTCAGAAATACCAGCCCTGTCTCCTGTGCTTGCCCTTCCAGCCTCCAAAACCATGAGCGTGATTTCCACTCGGTCCTCTACCCTGTGGAATTCTGTGTGACAGCAGATCTAACATGCTAATGTGACACCATTGGGCGTCACTTTGTAACATAAAGAAGAAATGTGTGAAGTTCTCCCACACTTGCATGGGAGGAAAATAAAGGGACCCACACTGTCATAACAAAGGAATAACTGAAGGAGTTTATGCTGGAGCACGTGACCATGCAGGAACGCTGCAGAGGTCTCCAGTGTAACACACCTCCAGGAATAAAGCTGCTGAGCAAAGCATGCCTTACCTCGGGTCTCAACGGCACTGATGCATTTTCTGAGAATTGTGAATCCCATGGTATCCAACTGTGCACCTAAAAGAAACAGTTACAAAATGTTAAGGGACAAGTAGTTACT